CTGGTCCCCCTCCCAACTGCTCTCCCCTGCAGGCCTGCCCTCCCTCCCCCAACTTCCCTTCCCTGCAGGCCAGGTCGCCTCCAACTTTTCTTCTCTGCCGGTCTGGTCACCTCTAACTGCCCTCCCCTGCAGGCTTGATCACCCCCAAATGCTCTCCCTTGCAGGCCTGGTCCCTCCCAACTGCCCACCCCTGCTGGCCATTGTGTCCACATGGGGGCGGGATCTTTGAATACATGGGGGCAGCCATCTTATGTATTGGAGTGATTGTCAATTTGCATATTATTCTTTTATTATATAGGATTTTAATGGTGCTTTCAATAGGAAGATGAAAGGGCAACAAAAATAGAAACCTCAACACATGCCTTGCATCTTTATACAACAGCATTTAAAAAAATACAATTTTATTGATTTCAGAGAGCAAAGGAGAGGGAGAGATAGAAACATTGATGCTGAGTGAGAATTACCAATTGGTTGTCCCCTGTACACCACCACCAGAGGTCTAGCCCCGCATGTACCCTGACCCAGGAAATGGACAGTGAGGAACAGTGACCTGGTTCTTTGAGCCACACCAGCCCCGCTACAATAATATTTTTGTGTGCGTGTCCTCCTACACAAAGGATATTCTACTTTCCTTGAAAGCATATAGAACCAAATAAAGTTTCTCCAGCAGCAACAATAATTTCTTATGCAACCAACTTCACTGAACACAAGAAGTAAATTAGTTAATTATGTCCAAATTCTTACCAAAATTTCTCAAATTCAAACTTCTTTTTCCAAAAGGTAACTTTTCACTAAAGTTTTAATAATAACATGAAGTCAGAATAATATCACCACAGTCTATCAGGTCAAACACAAATATTCTAGAACCACTAGTGCTAGTCTAAAGGCCCATGGACCAGTGACAGCCTGCAAACTAATAGATCCACGGGTCTAAAAGTGTTTTAGAAGCTTTAAAAACAATAATTTTTCTGTTATTTGTCTTAACAGTATTATGCAAAAGTAGGACTCCAGTTGAAATTACAAAACAAAAACTGAACAATTACCACCACTTGAGCAATACTTGCTCATCTTTTCCCAGACACACAAAATTAAGGTTCATGAGGGTAAACAAAAAGGCTAATAGATGAAAATAAAGAGGCCAAACTGTCCCTAGACACCTAGGCACCCAGATACCCAACCCAGAGTTAGAAGGAATCAAAATCTTGGCAGGGTTTAATAAGTTAACAAGCTTTGTTCTAGAAGTCACAATTTGGCATTCCAGGCCATCCACAAAGTGAACTCACTACACTATCCAATCTCTTATGTACTAAGAGAAATTCTATCCTACTTGCTTGGAAATTCTGTTTCAATGTTTTAAATACCAATTATAGGGTCCCTCTCTTCTAGAAATATCCATGCCTTACAAACCATACTGTATTTACTTTTCAAAGCTCAACCATCAAAGCTCAAATTAAGATGCACACTTACTTCCTCCTAACTGCACTGAGATTTTCTCCTTACAGGTAATCACCAAGAAACATTATCAAATACAGGGTGGTACAAAAGTAGGTTTAATCCAAGCCATACACTCAATTAATATTTGACAAAGAAAGCAAGAGCATACAATGGAGTCAAGATAAGTCTCTTCAATAAATTGTGCTGGGAAATCTGGTCAGATACATGCCAAAAAAACTAGATCATCAACTTACACCATACACCAAAACAAACTCAAAATGGTTAAAGGACTTAAATGTAAGAAGGAATTTAAGCATCTAAGACGACTCCATAAGCAGCAAAACATCAGACATATATTGTAGCAATATCTTTACCGATACTTCTCCTAGGACAATGGAAACTAGGGAGAAAATAAACAAATGGGACTACATAAAAATAAAAAATTTCTGCACAGAAAAATAAACCATCAACAAAACAACAAGAAAGCCCACTGTATGGGAGAAGATATTTGCCAATGCTATTTCAGATAAGGGCTTAATCTCCAAAATTTATAGGGAATTCATACAACTTAACAAAAGAAGATAATCCAATCAAAAAATGGGCAAAGGACCTAAATAGACACTTTTCAAAAGAGGACATAGAGAAGGCTGAAAGACATGAAAACATGCTCAAAGTCACTAATCATCCGAGAGATGGAAATCAAAACAATCAGGCACCACCTCACACCCGTGAAAATGGCTATCTTCAACAAATCAAAGACAAGTGCTGATGAGTATGTGGAGAAAAAAGAACCCTCGTGCACTGCTGGTGGGAATGCAGGCTGGTGCAGCAACTATGGAGAACAGTATGGAGTTTTCTCAAAAAGTTAAAAATGGAACTCCATTTGACCCAGTAATCCCACTTCTAGGATTATATCCTAAGAAACCAGAAACACCAATCAAAAAGGATATATGCACTCCTATGTTCATAGCAGCACAATTTACCAAAGCTAAGATTTGGAAACAGCCTAAGTGCCCATCAGCAGATGAGTGGATTAAAAACCTGTGGTACATTTACACAATAAAATACTACGCTGCTATAAAAAGAAACAACACCATGGATAGACGTGAAGAGCATTATGCTAAGTGAAATAAGCCAGTTGGAGAAAGATAAATACAACATGATTTCACTCATATGTGGGATATGATGATCAACATAAACTGATGAACAAAAATAGATACAGAGATTAAGGTAGCACTGAACAGACTGTCCAACCTCGGAGAGAAGACAGGGTGGGTGGGAATGGTCAGAGATCAACCAAAGGACTTGTATGCATGCATATTAACATAACCAATGGATACTGGAATAGTGGGGGCTTGCCCTCAGGGGTGGAAGTGGTGGGGTGGGGGTCAATGGGGAAAAAAGGAGATATGTAATACTTTCTTTAAACAATAAAACATTTCTTAAAGCAAGTTTATAGTTCTGAGTACACAAAACACAAGTTAATTCTTGTATTATTATTATTGTATTATTTTTACATGAACTATAGATCTACTTCTGCCCCACCCAATGCTTATTGATAAGTAGTGATGTATCTTATAGTGATTCCTTCTCCATTCCATTTGAATTGCTTTTTCTACTTAAACAGATTTTAGGGTATTTTCACTTAAAAAGCAAAATTAAGTCTTCTCCTTCCATTCTGGCTTTCAAAAAAAAACCAGGACAGCAATATTAACTAAGAATTCATTATACTGTGCTAAGTTGCTTAAGATATTTCCAGCATTGGTTGGGGGGGGAGGGGGGCCTGCGGCTGCTCACAATATCTTTAAAAAAATCATGCTCCAAAACAAGAGTGGGGGACATTTTCTCTGCCAAGGGCCATTTGGATATCTATAACATCATTCTCGGGCCATACAAAATTATCAACTTAAAAACTAGCTTGCTATATTTGGCCAAGCATTTAATTCATCCCAGATGCCTTGGCAGGGCCAGACCAAATTATTTTGCAGGCCGTATATGGCCTGTGGGCTGGATGTTCCCCACCTCTGCTCTAGAACCAACTACCCTCATGATTCAAACTTTTTTACATTCTTATCTACTATGGATACATTATCTATGGTTCTCTTTCACTTCCACCATCAATGAAATCCACTGTTAATTACTAATACCATCCCAGATCTTTTTCAGTGACATTATAAATACAGTCACAGAATTTGTTTTTTCTAAACCACTTAACTAGAGCTTACAACTTGCTTTTCCCCCTCCAGTCATCAGTATGACTTAGCTGCAAATGTCTTCCTATGGCTATATGGTTTTTAACACATTTCTAAATAGATAAAACTTTTTTAGACATATAGAACCAAGAGTCCCTTCTGAGCCATGACTTCATTGTGGGTACTAAAAATCACTAATCCCTCATTCATCCTAATGTAAAATCCAATCCATCTCTGATTTATATTTTTACTTTCAAGTAGAATCACCCATATGCCACATTCATGATGAAAAGGATTTTTTCTCCTGTACAGAAATGTCTGGTTGTCCTTCATGTTTTGGATTATTTATGTCCATAGACTTTTAATTCTAGCATTCTCTTTCATCAGTCTTTTATAATTTTAAAAAATTATTTCATCCTTGTCAGGCAGCTCAGTTGGCTAGACCGTGGTCCTGATATGTAAAGGTTGGTAGTTTGATCCCCGGTCAGGACACAGAGAAGAATCAACCAATGAATACATAAATAAGTGGGGAAAAATTACCTCAATATCCTTACATTGGCTTCTTTAAAATTTAAAAATTGCTTTGTCACCTTTTCCATCTCTATATCATGTTATAATTAACTGATTCTCCATACTTGTTAGATTATAAACTTGGAATAGGAAAAAGAATTTACTAATCCTGGTACACTTATCATATATACATATGATCTATCTATTTTGTCTAGCAATTGGTAACAAGGCAACTAATGCAAAGTGAAACGTTGTTTATTAGTTGGTTTAAATACCTTTAAGACTGTTTTCATTTTTTCAAGCACAGATGTTTATGGTAAATGAGGTTAGAATAAAATAAAAAAATTGGGAATGAAGGTAGTACGATTTTCTCCAGGAAACCGGTTTTAAACAACTGCAAATTTCGGAGTTTTCTTCAGATTAATTAAGAATATCTGGATTGTCCCCAAAATATCAATAGGTTACTCTGGAACACCATAGCTAAATTCTAGTCAAGTATTCCATTCTTGGCTCAAATACCTTAAAATGACCCTGAGAACTAATAATCATAGAGCACAAAGTTATTCAACAAAATTCAGGGGAAAAAAAACAAAAAATATTATTCAGCCCTAGTTGATTTGGCTCAGTGCATAGAGCTTTATTGGCCTACAAACTGAAAGGTCCCAGGTTCGACTCTGGGCAAGGGCACATTCCTGGGCTGTGGGCTTGATGCCCAGTTCGGGACAGCCAATCTATGATTCTCTCTCATCATGGTTGTTTTCTATCTTTCTCTCCCTCTTCCTTCCTCTCTGAAATCAATAAAGATATATTTTTTTAAATCAAACTTATTAAAAAATATATCATCCAGGTATGCTTTATACATACCAGTTTGGCTTGTGCTTCGGCAATTTTTCGGTTATTCTCTTCCAGTATTCGCTCTAGCTCCTCACGTTTTGCACGTTCTTCCTCCTAAAGGGGAGGACATGTTAAGATGTTAGAAAAATAAAATGTTTAATTTTACTGATAAATATTTACTAATCTTCCTCTGAACTGTTTGATCTGATTTACAGGGCAGCTTTAGATAAAGCTGCCTTCGGTCTACAAATGATAAACTGTGCAGCCACTAAAATTTGTTTCTAACCCTAAATCGCAATCATCCCTCCCAGTCCAAACAGCAACCGACTAAACCCTCCCTAATCGATAGTTTCCTGGCAGTTATTACTAGTACTTTAATATCACACAAATCAACAAGGACAACTAACAAAACTGGAATAGTATTTACCAAATTAAAAAAAATAATATAAAATATAAATAAAGTGAATATTTGTCTCACCAATTATGTATACCTACGTATTCTTTACCTATACTCCTTTAATCAGCATTAAAAGTTGAATATTTACTGTCTTGTCCAGTGTCCTGCAGAGTGTGCTCCTCGGCTGCCATACACGCCAGCTTCCTCTTTAAAATGATTTGTACTGTTAGCTTGGCAATACCTGCATCAGCAGCTCAACCATTTATAAACAACATACAAGGAAGGCTGAGCTGAGGAATGCAGATGTTTATGGTAAGAAGGAACAAAAAATGTAATTCATCATTCCTAAGGCAAACAATTAATAAGAAAAATACATTTACTGTTAGTGAAAAATACAAATGGTAATCCATACTTCATGGAACTAAGGGCTTCTTCCATGGGGAAAATGGACTTAACATTCAGATGTTGACAATTTCTAAAGGCAGCTTATCTTGTCATCTACAGTCTGAACTGAAATTCAGGAATCCATGGGGTGCATAGTCAGGAAATAAAATTCTGTAGTTTATTTTTTCTTGGAGAATTTAATGAGATTTTTAAAATGCAAACTATATGAAGATTGCTCGATGGTTTGGGCAGTGTTAAGATCACAGCATACATATTCAAATGATTTTAATATTTGGAAAGACTGGCAGAGGGATGTGTCCGTGTAAAAAAAAAATATTGTTAATATGAAACAAAAAGCACATGAAGAGAAAAAAATCTTCCTATGATTAATAACTCGCTACAACACAGCACCATTACTCCAAAAATATTTTCATAATTAAAAGTCCTGATACAAAAATTTCATACATTCAATTGCATCAAGTCTGTGATGTCCACCAAATACAGACATGTATATGTAGTTAAAGACAGCACAAGGGAAAATACATTTGAAAAGCTAAACTTACTGAAAACAGAAATTAATGTCAATTTGTCCACAATAATGCTAGGACTAAAAATGACAAAGAAGCATATATTTTGAGTCAAATATTTAAATTCAAGAAAATATAACTATAGGATTTCCAGTGGCACACACCAATTAAATTCATATTCACTATGGAAACTAGGTTGAGGGACACTCAGTGCTGTAATTTGCTTTGAGTGTGTTTCAGAGACTTTCAACAAATTTTAGGATCCTGGAGTAATCAGTGCAAATAAGCCATAAAGCTTCAGTAGCAAATTACTGTCTCACAGAAAGACATTTTCAGCTTCTGCTCCAGCTGCTGATAAAACAAATCATGTGTTTAGCTTGACTCCAGACAAGGACAACCTGTTCCTTCATAACTCTCTAGAGGAAAAAAGGAGTTGTTAGTAGATACTAAAAAGTGGATGAATAATATGGACATTTTTCCTAAAAAGATTCTTTGAAACACATTAGAAAAATGGAGGGCCTTATGATCAAAACACTAGAATTAGTCCATTGTGTTGAAGCAGAATTTGGGGTAGGAGGTGAGGGATAAAAGAAGGGGAAAAGGAGCAAGAAAACCTATTTATCAAAAGCAGGTGCTCTCATCACTCAGTGTTAGTCCCTGCTCTTCTTAATCTGACTGAAGGCAAAAAGCCTCTCACAGTCTAGGTAATAAGAACGATAAACAGAAAAGAATACATAACCACAGGTGGATTTTTAACCTTTTCCCTTTACAACTCCCTGTGTCCCCCCATCCTCCCAAAAAAGAGTGTAAGTCCTGCAGCCATGGCAAAAGTTTCAAACACTTCTCAAATATGTAAGCCAGTTCCATTAAATCAAAAAGTTTCCTTGAATGTTTTATGAAAATAACTTTTAAATATCAGTCAGCACTTCTGCATAGCTAAAAAATTAACTTTCGCAGCAATGTTAAGTTTAGATGAGAAAGGAATTAGTCTGTATTCCATCTCTTTCTGAACTGAGCAGGAGGCACAACCAAAACTGAAAGTTTTGCCATGGACTGTCTCTACTTTCCAAACGACCGAGCGTTACCTCTCTGGCTTTTTGTGCTGCAAGCTCAGCTTGTCTCTGTCGCTCGAGTTCTTCGAGCAACTGCTTTTCCATGATGCGCTTGGCTTCCTCCACCCTTCGGAGAACTTCTCGCTCAATTTCATCCTTCCTTTTCTCCAGTTCTTCCTCTACCCTTTTTGCTACCAATTCTTCCACTCTTCGTGCTGTTTCTTCCTCGATGAGTTTTTCTTCTATTTCCTGCTGCCGGCTAGCAAACAAAAATGGGAAAAAAATGACTTAGATAATATAAAAAATAAACCTAGAAATTAAGACTATCTGTAAATCTGTAAAACATTGAGCCTGTTTATAGGTTTCTATGATTTTACAATTCATTTTCATGCAACATTCAAGGATATAATAGAAATAATGATGTTAAGTGATACAGAAATTAAACATAAAAGCATGTTTTTTCCATCACTTTCTGAAATTAAAAACAGTATATACAAGAGCTTAATTCACCAGTTTTTATTTAGAAATGTAGACCAAATTTGAAACAGGAAATCCACTTTTGTTATCAACTTTACAATGAAAAGACAAACTGTAAATACTAGTATATGGATTTGCTTATTTGCCAATCTACCCAGTTTAAGGGTTGGTCTGCAAAGAAGTCAGGAACAATCATTATGTAGCAAATACTAATAATTCAGACCAGAAAAACTCATTCTCCCTCCAGGCAAAATCAGAATACAGACTCAGAGTTTCAGAGTACCAAGGCAATAGTTGTATAACATTTTAGTGAAAATATACCTTACTCAGATTCTGTACTTCACTGTATCTTTTATTTAATTGGTTTTCAATTAAAAGTTCTTCTAGAGATGGAAAGTAGATAAAAATATATTATCAATTCTATTAAAAAGCCAAATGAACCATAATACTAATTTATTTTAACTCCATTTTGATATTATGAATCAACTTACTTAAAATTCTGCACTGAAAGTACTGTCATTTATCAAGTCAGCATAGTGGAAACCTTATTTTATACCACTGGTGTCCAATGATTGCCTCACACATATCTAGATTGAATTGAAAACCAAAACACAAAAAAAGACCTCATTTCTTTTTTCTTTTTTTTTTTCTTTTTTTTTTAGTATATTTTATTGAGAGGAAGGGAGAGAGACAGAGAGCTAGAAACGTCGATGAGAAACATCGACTAGCTACCTCCTGCATACCCCCTACCAGGGTTGTGCCCGCAACCAAGGTACATGCCCTTGACTGGAACCGAACCCGGGACCTTTCAGTCCGCAGACCTACGCTCTACCACTGAGCCAAACCAGCTTCGCCTCATTTCTTTATTTAATTACATCAAATGACAATATTTTGAGATTGACTGGAAATATATTAAAATTAATTTCACTGGTTTCTTTGTTTAATAAAGTGAACATTAAACACAAATCCACTTCAACTATATTTTGGGGGGTGATTCAATTTCCACTCTAGCGCTTTCTTTCTTAATCCCTGTTACGCAGAGTGATACCATCCTAATACTGATTCACCCTCATATTCTGATTCATGTGAAAGACATTTTCACACTTAAAATATCCACTTTTTTCCTGTCGAGATAGCAGCTACTTAAAAAAGCATAATTCCTTTTAATTTCTAGGAATTTTAAAAATCTATTTTGAAGGTTATTTCATTTAACTTTCTTTTTATTACTGACACTATTACAGATACCCCCGTTTCCCCCCATTTTGCCCACCTCTACCCAGCCCCTGCCCTTCCTTCCCTCTGGCCATCACCACACTGTTGTGTTGCTTTTTTTAAAAAAATAACTACTCCCGCCGAAACAGGTTTGGCTCAGTGGTAGAGGTCCCAGGTTCGATTCCGGTGGGGGGGTGGGGGGGGATGTATGTTGGTTGCGGGCTCATCCCTGCAAGAGGCAGCTGGTCGATTTTTCTCTCTCATCGACATTTCTAACTATCTCTCTCCCTTCCTCTCTGTAAAAAATCAATAAAAATATACTTAAAAAAATAACTACTCCCCACCACTACATTAGTGATTTTTATTTTAAAAAGTCACAAAATGCTCTAACTAGAATTTTCTTTAACTCCTCTTTAATATCCAATAAAACACAGCATTAGGGTATAAACATTATAGCTGCTAAGAGAAATGATACCTACCCCAACATTAAAAATAGCTAGGAATGTCTAAAGGAAATCAGGCAGCAATCTCAATGGAAATTAAACTACATTTCAAATAGAAAATTTCTGTTTATCTACTTCATCCAGAAAAAAATAAGTAAAAGATAAAACAAGTAAGACTGACAGCTACTAAATCTGGATGAAGGATGCATTAAGCTTATAATATCCTCTCTACCTTTGCATTAAGTTGGAAAGTTTTCATAACACAAAGTTTTAAAAGTATACATGCCCATATATACATAATTTGTTAGTTGGTTCTTATGCAATTAGTAAATGAAGAGAAATCTAAGAAGAAACTTTATAATGGTACAATTCAACTCTTAAAGGAAGGACAATGTAAAAAGTTCCAATTAAAATTTTCCATGTAAAGTAAAAAAGAAAGAAAAGAACAGGATAAAGCTTTGGTTAGCTTATCAACAGAAAAGTTGCCAACAAATTAACTTGGAAATTTGGTAATGGTAAAAAGACCTGATACAGATTCAGAGGTTTTGTCAACCAGTTTCTAAGTAATAGGGCCTCATTTTCATAGACAAGTATGTAAGCAAGCAAGCAAGGAGAAAAGGAGCCTAAATAAATTCAGTTTATCACTTACAGCAAAAGCCAGATCAACATGGTATTAGCTCCCCCATGTCTCTGCTCCCACTGATGGATACCAAACCACAGGGGCTGGGTGACAGGTACCACAAGCACAGGTAGTGGGTTGCTCTGCTGCTAAGAAGTAAATTCTAACTACAGCTCAGCAGTTTTATAGCCTGAAGGGGAGGGCAAGTGGAAAGTCCCAAGCTCAACTAATACAGGGAGGATGAGAAATGGCCTCATAGAATTTCTCACAAGGCTGCTTATCTATCTCCCTTTGTTCCTGGAGGAGCAGTCCACCATGACGATAATTAAGCCTGCTGCTGTGTCCAACTGGGAGATAGGCTAGGAAGGTTACAACCCTACAACAGAACTGTTCCCCCATGAGTAGTATCAAGAACATAATCTTTGTTGTTGCTGTTATTCTTGGTAAGGTTAAAATTACTACTCCAGTAAATTAGAAAAAAAAAATTTTTTTTAATCAATTTCTAGATCTAGTGCTGAAAAAGCTAAAATCTAATATTGATTTAATTCTCCTCGCCATAACATTGAATTCAGAAAACCAAAGGGCACTTGTACAACTGAATTAATCTTTATTGATGACAAATTTACCATAATCAATGATAAAGCAGCTATTACACTAACTCATAAGAGGCATTGAAATTTTCTTAAAATAAGCACTTTTGTTACCTTATAAAAGATGTATTATCTAATATCATTGCCTATCCACTTCCTAAAACTTTTGACGTAGGATTGTCAGTCTCTTGATGTTCTTTTCTCTCTCTCATCTTTTCCTCAAGCTCTTCTGCAGAGTCCATTTCCTTGCCTAGATTTTGGGGCACTGATGAAAGAGATGATCAAAATTTTCAAGTTTTTCCATGGAAATGGCATAACATTAGTTCTCCTTTTTCTCCATGATCTCAGGTGTCTTAAAAACACTAGTCACAATCGATTTTAAAATGGGAACTATTAAAATATCAAGAGCCCAGAGAAATAGCAGCTAAAGGATATCACGAATTTGTACAGAGCAGCCTGAAATATTTTTAAATCTCTTTAAAATGTATGAACTCAAGCCTAGGAGCTTAATTCTCAGAACTGCTTCATAATATTACCAAACAACATTTACTAAGTATTGACTAGGTACCAAATACTCTGCCAACAGCTTTATATACCACTAGAGGCATGGTGCACAAATTCCTGCACAGGTGGGGCGGCACCAGCCCCCCGGGTCTAACTCCAGGTTGGTGGAGGGGACAATTTGCATATTAGCCTTTTATTATATAGGATGTCATCATCTACATAGATCTTTGATGGTTCCTGAGGCTAAGAAGGTTACTAACTGGGCTATACCTCATTGCACGAGCTAAAAGGTATGATTCTCAATTTGGGTAGACTCTAAAGCTAAGGGTCTTAAGCCCTATAATACCCTTCGTTGTTTCTCCAGGACCAAAGTGAGAGACAAAAGCATACATAACGATCTAAATACAAAAATAATTATTTTAAAAATTCATAAAATTCTTGTCAAGAATTTTAGATTTTAGAATTTAGCTGATTTTAGAATACAGCTAGATTGTAGGCCTTGATGCCCTCACCTCCCTCATGCAGTTAAACACTAAGCCTCCTGGAATCTAGGTATCACCAATTACCATTCTCCTGATTTACTGCAAGTCATTTTCAGCTGTCCACTTTTCATCAGTTAATACAACATGCACACAGCATCTCAAAAGATAACATATGAAAATGATAATAGGAGTGCAGGGGATGGCAGAAAGGGAACCCCACTAAATGGCCCAGACTTGGGGAGGAGAGGCAGAACTTTTGAAATGAATTTTGAACCAGGTGAATTAGCTACGCAAAAAGGGGGGAAAATCTTTTATTGCATTAAGATTGTAACTTGTAAGATCATTTCTTAAGTTCCGCTCAATATGGCTGCATTTAGTACATAAATTATATTCAACAACATTACTTATTGAGGCCTGTTATATGCCAAGCATTGTTTTGATAATTTAAATGCACAATTTTGAATCTTCATAATAAGCAAGGCAAGTATCTTTGTTTCAGATAAAAAATCAAACTTACAAGTAGGTGATTTATTCAAGGCCTCAGAATTGTTAAAATGGCAAGGCAATCTGGTTTCCATCCTTACCACAAACTTTCTAATTAATAGTTAAGCCCAACAAGAGATTCTAATTTTGCTGGCTCTCTCCATGGCACACTGGACCTCTTGAAGGTACACTTGACACTAGGCGTTCTGATACCTTTTCTCAGCTTCCCCAACCCAATTGTAAATACAAACATTCCCTAAAGGCTCTTTCAATCCCTGGAACTAACTGCTCTTTTCTACCCTCTCAAGGGGTCATTCCACTCTCAAGGTTCCCCCAGGTTTGTCCCTGTATCAACCTTGTGTAAACCAACTATATCCAAAAATTAGTGCCCACAGTGGAAGTGTGAAACAGAAAACTCCCTTTGATTTTCCCTCCTTCCTCTCCACTGGTTTTTGACATTTTAACCAGTGTCTGAGACACAGTAGGTTAAACATTTGGTGACTGAGATGTAATAGCCACAATATAAACATGAACCAACATTATTACTGTTTTCTTTCCCTATGTTTCATGTCCAATTTTATTTGTTCTAAATGTTTAAATCTCTCTTTGGCATTCCCACAACTGCTCCTCCACTACTCTGTGTGTACTTATTATAACTAATTTCTTCTCTATAGAGCAATCAGGGATCTACTGTTTTGTTTGTTTTTATAAAAGACCTCATGCCATTTACCTGCTTAAAACCTTTTGTTTCTGGGTGAAATCCAAGCTCCTTAATATGGCATACAAGACCCTTCCCATGATTCCCAGCTTCTACTTGACCTTTCCAGTTACTCCATGACTTAGTATTTACAGAACTTCATGTTCCAATTAATATTCACTTTTTTACTCCACAAATATCCTCCTAGGCCTACCCTGACAATCTCTATTTTTATCCACCACTCATTCCTTAGGAGAACTAAAGTGTTGACCCATCCAAGATACTTCTACCTTTCTATAGTCACATCACTATCACTGAATTGGTACCTATGCCTTCCAGTTAGATCAAGATCTTGGAGAGGGGTCAATCTTTATACCCTGTTTCCCCCAAAATAAGACAGTGTCTTATATTAATTTTTTCTCCCAAAGTTGTGCTAGGTCTTATTTTCAGGGGATGTCTTATCTTTCCATGCGCTAGGTCTTATTTTCGGGGAAACACAGTATTAACAGCACCTAGTACACTGCCTGGCACAGTAAATGCTCCATAAATTGGGTAGTTGTCAGTGGTTGGCAAACTGCGGGTTGGGAGCCACATGCTGTTCTTTGGTCCCTTGAGTGTTTAGCAAAGGCCTGCTTCGTGGTACCCTAATTAATAATAACAATGTACCTACCTATATAGTTCAAGTTTAAAAAATTTGGCTCTCAAAAGAAATTTCAATCGTTGTACCGTTGCTATTTGGCTCTGTTGACTAATGAGTTTGCCGACCACTGAACTAACCAACAGGGATTTGTAAATAGGAGAGTTTGCCCATTCCCTTGGCTCCAAAATCTGGGTCTTTATTTGTTTTGTGTTATTTCAAAGGCATTAGACCGTATTTAGTAGTGCCCACACCATGACACACAAATTCAGTGTACAGGCTGCTAGCTCTGCCCATTCCTTCCTTTATAAATGCTAAAGATGGTTTGCTTTTCCTATCAACTTGGAACTACATAGCTGCTCTATTTTCCAATTTTCATCCCTGGACTTCTCTGCTATTTATGTGTTGCTCACTGCTAAATGATCCTAACTATTCATAGCATACCACATTTCCTCTCACTTGTCCTAAAGTCTTAGCTTTCTAGGGAATGGAAAGTGTCTCCTTTGCTTTCACATGAAAAACGTATGCAATATCTTAGGCAATTTTAATAAATATCCATCTGTTGATAGTTATTTGAGAGCTACATGTTTATAGTTAATCTTGTTCCAGACCAAAAACCTGGGTTCTGTATAATCAAGGTTTGTTGTGAAACAATTAGTTGTACTTGCTTTTCATATATATCACTGAAAGTTCTGAAAAATAAAGGAAAGTTGAAAGCATTGCTTACATTTTAAAAGAATCCAGCAAAATACCCTCTCCAAGTACTGTATTCTCTGTAATATTAGTGTTCCAGTCCCCTACCTCTTAATAACTTTGCTCTTAGAAACAAGATTTGCTGAAAAATCTACATAATACAAACCTAAATGCACAAAACACACACAGACACATAAAAAACACACAATTTAGTACACATCAACTAAAAGGGAAATTGTCTCAGGAAAATTTTAAAGTTCCTGCCTCATGAGCATTTTTAAAAGTGCCCTGAAGAGAAAGGAGGAAGACAGCTAGTTAAAAGGCGGAAGTGAACATACCTAACTCTACCTTTCAGCCTAACTGTGGGAAAGGAGTATCCAGAGCAGGGTACCAACATTAAAGGCTACATTTTAAACGCGGAAGTTCCTTAGTTTGGGATTATTGACATCTACCCTTGAATCAAAGGATACCTGAGAAATACTACCTTTTACCCAACAGGACTTTCTGCACGTGAGCAAAGTCTAAAAAACATCAAGTATGCTACAAGGGGAAACGAATGTCAAAACGGTACCGAAGTTATGCTCCAGAAGCATGTAACCCAGAACTAATAAAAAGCAGTCGGTAGTTAAGAGCAGACCGATTGGGAGGATGGTGCTCCTCAGATGAATGAATGCAAGCGTCACAACTGAGTGTACGGCACACTGAAGGTTGGGGGCACAATTGTTTTTACATCTCAACTAACAAAACCGAGAACGGGAAAGCAGCCGAGACATGTGAAACTACTAGGAATACATTAAAATGGGAGGTGGTGGGGGGTGGGTACTGTAGAACCCAGACCTAAAAAAGTTATCTTATTTCGGAGAAGCCCAGTCCCAAAGGTAAAGCGGCAATGCAGCCGTGCTCTGGGGCAGCTGCGATTTGCATCCCACGGGTGAGCTCCCCTCCGTTCCCCGCCTGCGGGTCCGCAAACACGGAGACCAGCTCGCCCTCGCGGCCACGCCGCTGCCGGGCCCCACGCGGAACTCCGCCCCCTGCTTCCTGCACTCCCCCCCACCCTCTGGCGCCAAAATCGCGTGCTCCCCTCTCTGCGCCTCTCCTGCTCCATGCCCCACTCTTTCCTCCCCATCCCACTCCCGGGTCAGGGCCTGCCCCAGGCTCCCCGGAGGCTCCTCGCCACCCCTCCCCGCCTCCCCCGCCGCAGCCCCCGGCGCGGCCTCCATCCCCCTCCCCTCCCCTCCCCCGCGGGCGCTCACATTTTTCGCTGCCGCTCGAACTCGGCTTTCTTCTCCTCCTCCTCCCGCTTCTGCTTCTCGTCCAGGCTGCTGCGCTTGCTCACCGTGCGCCCGAAGATGTCGATGCGGTCGGGCGGGGACGAGGCGCGCTCCCGGTCCCGCTCGCGCCGGGACACGGCCGCGTTGGTGGAGCGGGAGCGGGACCGCGACTCCCGCCGCCGGTTCCGCTTACTCTCCCGGGACTTGGAGCGCTTCCGCACGCGCTCCTTGTCTCGGGACCGCGACCGGGACCGGCTGCGCTTCTTGTTGTGCTTGCTGCTCTTGGTGTGCTTGGAGCGGGACGAGCTGCGGCTCCGGGACCGGCCCATCCTTTCCGGGCGGCGCTGGTGCCTAACCGCTGGCCTCAGCCCCGCACGCGCCTGGGACGCTCTCGCCTGGGGACCTCCGGACGCCGGCCGGCCGCCTCGCTGGAGCCGGGGGAAGGAAGGCCGTCAGCCGGCTGCCTCTCCGTCACTCCCGCGGGCGCACGGCCGCCACGAAGGCCACCTCCAAAGACAAGGCCGCGGCACCAGGAGTTCCTAAAGATGGCAGCCGCTGCTGCACCGGCCGCCCTTCCCACAATGCCCCGCGCGGAGCGCGCAGTCGCGCGAGCCCCGCCCCCCTGCCGGGCGATTGTTGCCGAAGGCGAGGCGGGCGCTTCCGAGCGCGCTCGGCTCCTTCCGCCGGCCCCCGCGCCCCGCCCAGAGCGTAGGAGCCGAAGTGCCTGGCTTCGGCTAATACATTTTTTTTTTTTTCCCCCCTTGGCTTTCTGGTAAGATTGGCCAACACCTTTTAAGAATGAACCGGTGATGATGTAGTGGGAAATTAATGCTTTGCATTTGTATACTGTAAATATAAATGACGATTTGTTTGAAATGTGTAACTTTTTGATATGCAAAAGATAATAACTCACAAAGTGAATATTAAATATTCCTTCGAAATAAAAATAAATAAAAAAAAAAAGAATGAACCGAATACGTTGTGGTGCGGACGAAATCATGTCTTGGCGTGAACGGACGGCTTTATTTTTTTCTAGGACCTGGTTTGGTCAGGCCGCCATAAGTTGCATCAGAGTGACCCTTAGAGCAGGTCTCTTGCCTCCGGAGCTTAGCTTCCTCATTTGTTGCAGGGGAGGTGACCACACTTGATGACGTGGTTGTGAGGCTTACAGGAGATAAAATGCGCTTTGATAAATGGGAGCCTATGCTTAATATGGGCCTCCATGTGCCATTGTTTTCAAGGCTTTGCATTTATTAACAGGGGGTTAATTCTCATTTTAGGGATGGGTACCCTGACGTCCAGAGGGTAAAGTTGCCCAGGTCACACAGCTAGCAGGTGACAGAGCAGCCACTGTTGGAAATCCTTGCACATAGCCAGCAGCCCCACCAAGCCCTAGCCAGGAAAGCTGTATTCCTACCTAGTACAACAAACTGCTCCTGTCCTTTTAAGCAAGCAATGCCCTATGAAAAGTGAAATAAAAACATTTTCCCCACAGTGGCAAGGAAAACTATAAAATACTTTGGAATCAAATTTAACAAGTAAAAAGATCCTGATGATGAAATCCCGAAATCTTTGTTGAAAGTCAGAAACAAAGACTGAGTCAATAAAAGCCAATGAACGCTTTTTGAGTGAAAAGTTCGTATCAAAAATATACCAGTTCGCCGAAACCGGTTTGGCCCAGTGGTAGAGCGTCGGTCTGTGGACTGAAAGGTCCCAGGTTCGATTCGAGTCAGGGGCACAGTCAGGGGCATGTACATTGGTTGCAGGCACATCCCCGGTAGGGAGTGTGCAGGAGGCAGCTGGTCAATGTTTCCCTCTCATCGACGTTTCTAGCTCTCTAGCTCTCTCCCTTCCTCTCTGTAAAAAAATCAATAAAATATATATTTTTTAAAATGTTTCCTCCATTCATCTTTGAATAATTATAACCAAATACAAGTAGCATGTTATTCAAAAACATGTATTTCTAAAGAATAATCTTCTAATGAAGAAATTACCAAGGAGATGCCTGTATTTATTTTTCCTTCTTATTCTTTACTAATTCTCAACAACTTTTATCAACTTTTCAGAATGTGAGATGTATCTTGTAACGTGTTAATGAAGCTTCATTTACTCAGGTGGTAAATACTGAGTACCTAGCTCGTGCAAAATATTGTGCTAATTGTTAATAGATTTATACCTATGCTTAAGATATAGGCAGAGCCAAAACCGGTTTGGCTCAGTGAATAGAGCATCGGCCTGTGGACTGAAGGGTTCCGGGTTCGATTCCAGTCAGGGAAATGTACATTGGTTGCAGGCACATCCCCGGTAGGAGGTGTGCAGGAGGCAGCTGGTCGATGTTTCTCTCTCATCGATGTTTCTAGCTCTCTATCCCACTCTCTTCCTCTCTGTAAAAAAAATCAATAAAATATATTTAAAAAAAAAAAAAAGAAAGAAAGAAAAAGAAAAAAGAAACAGGCAGAGCCCTTGGCACCAACTACCAAACTCTGGGTAGCCCGCTTATCAGGTGATCAGTCTTTGCTGTTTCTGAGGTAATCTTCCTATCTTTTCCCTAAGCTATTTGAAATCCCATTTATACCCATCCTTCCCTACCCCACTCAGTCCCCTGCCTCTTGGCAGGTTAGTTCTCCTTGGCAGCACTTTTCATTCATAGTTGTAATTTTTAGAAAATGTTAATTAGTTATTTCACATTCATCTCTCTAATGAAAAAGTGAGTTTCTCAAGGGAAGGGGAGGGACCTTTCCTCCCCTTTTGAATCTAGAACTTTGCACATGGGAAGCATTGGACAAAACGTAATTTGAAATGGTAAACAGGGAATGAGTTACCTGTTTTTCCTTAGAAACCTTACACCATTGCTTCTTTAAAAACTGCTTTAGACAATTCAAGATTACAGAATATTACGTAGTTTGAACATAGAAAAACTGCCATCACAGGGCAATAAAATCAGCAAAACTCTGGTTTTCAAAAAGCTATCTTTTGATTCAATTCAGAATGTTTGGTTCTATGTAAAACATACTGCTTCTCCCTCCCCCTCCCCACCAATAAAACAAATGTTACTCTTATTCTTCATCTAAAACTATTGTCAGGTGGCGCTATGGTAGGCAAGGTTAATTGTAAAATTGTATGTATGTCCCTATGCAAATATTAAGGGGAAGACAAAAGCCACGTTTGCCCAAGAAACAGAAGGAAATGCTTTGCTCAGAGAGCAGGAAAAAATATTTTCAGATAGAGAGAAACACACACAAATAGCCCTAGCAGCAACAAATGCAAAGATCTCTATCCGTTCTGCTCAGATGCCTGAAGAGCAAGGCAGCAGAAAGGCAAAGGAAGCCCTTATGGGAACTTGTTGAGACTGGCTGGTGGCTGGAGCTGACTGTGAGATGGGGGTGTGAACTTGGCAGGCCCTGACGTGGAGCCAGTCCAAATGGGAGGCCAAATTTAGTGTCAAATAAGGAACAAATCCTGACTTAGTGAAGAGAGACTTTATTCAAAAGGATTATTGAAAGAGCTAGGGTGGGGGTGGGAAGACTATCACGAAAGGGAGAGGGCGACCTATGGAAATGGGGGGAATGTCCTGACAATAAGACCTGCAAGTGTCTCCAAAGTTAGGCAAAAAGGGATTTTCTTTTTCTTTTTTTAATTTCTTTCTTTCTTTTTTTTTTTTTTTTTTTTTTTTTTTTACTGTGAAGTCTTAAAGTAATAAACTGTGCATATGAAATTGTCTCATTATCAAATTCACGGATAAGAAAAAAGCCATTTTAAATAATTGAACAATGTACAAATATGTATTTAAAATACTACACGTTTACATGTCTGCAATAACATAGGCAGCTACACACAGAAAATTATTCCTCCCTTATAGACTCAAAGAACTTCTAAGTATCTATAAAAGAGAAAGAGTAAAAAAGGCTAGAAAGTAGAACAAAATTAGAGAAAAACATCTATCTATATATATCTATATCTATCATCTATCTATCTATCTATCTATCTATCTATCTATCTATCTATCTATCTATCTATCTATCTATCTATCTAGAAAGCCAGCAACCAGAATGACTAGTCGCTATGACGCCCATTGTGGCCAGCAAACCAGCTGGATCTGGGGTGGTGCTGGCCAGCCAACCTCCCGAGACCCCTCCCCCTGGCCATCCCCGCCCTCGATGGGCCTGCCTCACCCTGATCGGCCCCTAGCCCCTCCCTCAGCCAGCTCCAACCTTGATTGTCCTTCCCACCCCAATAGGGGGTGAGGCTGGCTGCCCAACCTCCTGCAGCCCTTCCCCCCAGCCAGCCCTACCCCAGATGGGCCCTCACCACCTCCAGCAGGGGCAGGGCTGGTTGGCCACCCACTCATGGCCCCTCCCCCAGGCTGCTGGCCCCCAATCAGCCCCCCCACCCCATTCGGGGGCAGGGCCACCTGACACACAGCCTTTCCCCATGATTGGCCCCACCCCCAACCAACCCCCACCACCTGAATCAGCCCTCGGCCCCTCCCCCCACCAGGCCTGGTCCTGATCAGGCCAATTGGGGCAGACTGGCCAGACCCCATCTGTGCACGAATTTGTGCAATGGGTCTAGTTTACATTATAAAGTAAATCAGCAATACATTACTTTGAGCAGAGAAGCCCCTCATTTGCTGTTTTAAAATACTTTTAAAAGTAAAGCTGTATTTTTTCAACAAAAAAATTTCCCCCCCACAGTAAACAGTATTATATATATATATGTGATTAATTGTCTAGATACTTGCTTGGGAATTACATAGCTAAGCAATTGTTTATCATCTGAAAATCTTGTGACATTTAAGAAAGAAAAACCTCTTGGGATTGCCTTATATTTGTTCCTCAAAGAATCTGTGCTACAAAAAGTTAAACTTAAAAACCAGGTTTTAATTCATTTTTCTCCTCAAATCGATTACAGTATTTTGGCATTAGCTTCAAGTGAAATAAAATAGACTAGGAATGATTTTTTTTTCCTCTTCATTCCCCATTTAAAAGCCCCATTAGAAGGGGGAGGGGTGGAACTAGTGTTTATATTTCAACTGCTGTGTAACTAACCACCCCCAAACTCAGTGGCGTAAAACAACCATTTCATTATGGCCCACGATTCTGTGGGTCTGGAATTCAGACATGGTACTTCAGGCTTGTCTTTGCTCCACGGTCTCGGAGCTCAGCTGGAAAGACTCTAAGGCAGAGGGCAGAAGAGGGAGCGTGACTCAATAACCTGGGGCCACATGGACTCACCTGACAGTTGATGCTAGCCATTGTCTGGAACCTTAGCGGAGACTATCAGCTATATCTCCTGTATGTGGCTTCTTCATGTGGCTTGGGCTTCCTCA